CCGGTAAGGGGATCATAACCCTTGGCTTGGTGTCGCCTGCACCACGCTCAGCCAGTGAGCGCACCGGCCATCCCTATATGGGATCCGAACCCGCTGCGGGAGGCGCCGCCGCACTCCCAGCGCCGCACTCTCCCGAGTGAGCCAAGGGGTTGGCCCCCCTTAGAGATATTTCAAATTTCATGTGTTAAGCATTGCAATCTTGCTGTTTCTTAAAAAAAAAAACAAAAAAACATTCTCCTGGGAGCAAATACAGTTTAAATAATAATGCTGATAAGCCCTGCCTCCTCCCCTTACCCCCTAGGATTTATTGGGACAATATGAGAGCTCTGGATATAGACAATGGGAATCATTGAAAAGTGGAGAAAGGTATAGGAAAGGAAGTAGCTATAAAAACAGCTTTGTCTGATTTAGAATTTTTCCTAGGACCTTTTGCTTTGTGCATTGAAAAAAGCTTGAAATGAATTGACAGTTTTTTGAGTTAAGGGTTTAAGGCCTGGTTGGAATGGCAAGAATTTTAGTGCTAAAATTCATTCAATCCTCTAAGACTTAAGGGCTGTTAGTAATTTCCTCCTGTTAATCTTGATTAATTTGATTCTTCATGGGGTCTGTTTCCCAATTTAGTCTTAATAATTCAACAAATAAACCAGCATACTTATTAAGTGGCTACTGTACCTGAGAGGTGTTTTTCTAGATCAGTATTTCTCAACATGTGTTCCCTGAAACATTTGCACCAAAACCTCCTAGGATACTTATAAATGCAGACTTCTAGGTCCCACCACAGACCTACCAATCCTGAATCTCAGAGGAGAGGGATTGATTTAATTTCTTAAGCACCTTTAAGTACTATTATACTAGGGCAGTAGTTTTCAAACTTGGGAGTACATTAGAATCACCTGGAAGGCTTGTTAAATCCATGGAGTGCTGGGACCCACTCTAGAGTTTTGGATTCAGTAGGTTTGGGGTGGGGTCTGAGAAATTGCATCTCTAACAAGTTTCTAGGTGATGCTGATGCTGCTGGATCACACTTTGAGAACACTGTACTAGAGCATTGTGAGGGACATGAAGTATTAGATACAATACCTGTCGTTAAGGAGCTTATGATGTATTGGGGGAGATAAGATATACTTAAATATAAAAAGGAATATAAAATATATATTTGACAATATACAATAATATGGTACAATATAATATTTGACATCAAATGTGGTAGTTAGAAGATGGGATTTGATCTGAGCCCTGAAAGATGACAGAGCCTAAGGTTCTGTAGAGAATAAGGCATTCTTTTTTTTTTTTTAAAAGATGACCAGTAAGGGGATCTCAACCCTTGGCTTGGTGTTGTCAGCACCACGCTCAGCCAGTGAGCAAACCGGCCATCCCTATATAGGATCCGAACCCATGGCCTTGGTGTTATTAGCACCGCACTCTACCGAGTGAGCCACGGGCCGGCCCCAGAATAAGGCATTCTTTTTTTTTTTTTAAAAGATGACCAGAAAGGGGTCCTCAACCCTTGGCTTGGTGTTGTCAGCACCACGCTCAGCCAGTGAGCAAACCGGCCATCCCTATATAGGATCCGAACCCATGGCCTTGGTGTTATTAGCACCGCACTCTACCGAGTGAGCCACGGGCCGGCCCCAGAATAAGGCATTCTTGATGGGCCTATAAAAGAGGGAAATTACTGAGGTGTATGGGGCTGGGGTGGTAGATACTCGTTTGTCTGGCATAGAGCTTTGTATAGAACATTTGTGGCGTGGTAAGGCCAAAACACTGGTGCCAGTCTGTGGAAAGCCTTGAAAGCCTCTCCCTCTCCCCAGCCTCCACCCACTTCACAGCCTTACCAGAAGTGCTGCACAGCCAGAAAGAGGAAGTCTCCACTGCTGAGTGTGCAAGAGGAAGCACAAGGAGGCTCTGAGGGCCTGTGAGCCATAATGACTGCTTTCACCCATGAGCCAATTGCAGAGGCAACAGGAAGACCAATGCACCAACCAGGCTGGGCCCCTCCGCCCAGAGGGTGTCACCATCCAGGCTGAAAGTGTTTGGGGAGTTTAGGCATCACTATCTGGGTGCTCCTACTCTCTCAGTGGCCATTATGTCTTTGACCTCTGCTTACCAGCATAAATTAGCAGAAAAGCTCACTATCCTGAATGATCGAGGACAGGGGGTTCTCATCCGTATGTATAACATCAAGAAGGTAAGCTTGAACAATGGAACCAGTACTAGTTATTCCAGTAATAGTAGGTCAGGGAACCCTGAGGCCGGCAGGTCCCCCAGTTTTCTGCTGCTTTAACTGGCTTTCAGTCAGATTATATAGGCCAGCCAGTTTGGGGAGACAGAAGGGCAGGCTTCTTTTCAGGGCTTTTAAAAGTATGATTCTCATCCCAATGAAAGCATCTGCTGTCTGCTGGGGATGAGGGTGGGAGAGAAGGGAGAATAATTGTGTTCTGAGTGACTTGGATAAAGGTCTGGGGTGTAGAATTCCGGGTCTTATTATTTATTGCTGATTCCTCACACTGAAGAGATCTGAAGTTGGGTCTCTGGCAAAAACTTTTCTGTGGAAGTACTTCTCTAAAAGGAAAAGAAAAATAGATATTTAGATAAGAAAGGGCTGGTGCCTTCTGAGGGACTTAGTCTGGGGCAGTTCATGATGTGGTTGTATGTGTGTGTTTAGAATAGAACTGTGGAATTGGGAGAAGCTGGTGGCAATAGGTGAGCTAGCAGCTGGGTAAGCCACAGGAAGTAAAGAGATAAAGACTGGGGGGTTTATGGGAGTTCCAGGAAGACAAAATAGGGACTTGGGGGAAGGAACTTTGGTGCATTTTGTAATAAAACAAATCATGGTTTCTTTGTCTCCTATATATGCCCTTTGGGATAAGATACTTATATAATGGACATAATTATGACATTGAATTTTGCATGAACTTCTGAGCAGCTGGTTTTCTCACTCCTTCCGGCTTCAGTTAAGGGACGGGGAAACAGCTTCCTCTTTGTGCTGGGGCCAAGCAGACATTAAGCTTTACCCAGCAAGATGAGATGCCCAGGTTGTTATTTAGCTCTTAGACAGTTGGCTTAATGTTTTGGAACTTGTTCCTTACCTACTTTTGTGCTTTTATGATTGATTCCTAGATTGCCTTTTCCTAAGATAGATTGTGAGAATGAATGATGCAGGAAGAGGTAATGTTTCTGAGGGGCAGGAGAAAGGGTTGTAATATAGTGCGGTTTATCTGTGCAGACTTGTTCAGATCCCAAATCCAAGCCACCTTTCTTACTGGAGAAGTCCATGGAATCATGTCTCAAGTATATCAACAAGAAATTTCCCAACATAGATGTTCGAAGCAGCACGGTGAGAACTCGGTCCTTTTTCTCTCATTTCTCTGAAATAACTATGCTTGAATGACAGATATTCTCCTCTTTTTGACTGCCTCTCTTTAAACTTGGCAGGGGATGGAGTAGCCCTCTTTTAGATTTCCTATGTTCAATAACAGGGTTTCGGGTTGTTGCAGAGCTTTAGATCTTGAGAATTCTGAGATAAGATTGGATTCTCCCAGAGTAAGCTGGAACAAAGCATTGCCCCTTCCTCCATTACAAGATTCATGAGAACACTTTGTTCTTATAGGAGGAAGACAGCTCTGTCAACCCAGCAGGGTGCATACATTATTGTTCCTTTTTCCCGTTTGGTGTTTCCTTGCTACTTGTCTTAAAATTATGCATCTAGTGGGATACCCCTTAATTCTCCCTTATTAAATGTTAGATCTAGATTTCTCACCGGTTGTACCCATAGCATCTTCTCATTCTGTGACCTGGATATAAATAGTAAACCTCATTGGCTAAAAGGGACCTTGAAATTTCCTCTCATTTAGCCCTCTATATCTAATCAGGATCACATGCAACCATCCTCCCTAGATAGAAAATCTCCTCTGTTTAAAGACCTTTAAAGCATTTGAGAATTTCCAACTTCTTCTGTCAGTGTATTTCAACCTAATTTGAGAATGTTTTAGCAATAACCTCTGTTCTTCCTGAGTTACTTTGATCAATTGTCTTTTTATTTTGCTTCTTTTGTTTTGTTTTATGTTTCTCTCAGCAACATTTAGGACCAGTACATCGTGAAAAAGCTGAAATAATTAGATTCCTCACCAACTACTATCAGTCATTTGTTGACGTCATGGAATTTCGGGTGAGCTCTCTATAGCCCAAGTCCCCAATGTAGGCATGATCTTTCAGAGGCTATTCCTTCTTTAGAAGATGTCATTTATAGGCCGGCCCGTGGCTCACTCGGTAGAGTGCGGTGCTGATAACACCAAGGCCACGGGTTCGGATCCTATATAGGGATGGCCGGTTTGCTCACTAGCTGAGCATGGTGCTGACAACACCAAGCCAAGGGTTGAGATCCCCTTACCGGTCATCTTTTAAAAAAAAAAAAAAAAAAGAAGATGTCATTTATGTTGCTTAATACAGGTTCTTGAAAAAATGAGAAAGAAGTACTGATATGGAAAGATATCTAAGTTGTATTGTTAAATGAAAGCAAATTTCAGAATAGTATATATTTTTATTTTAAAAGATACACAAGCTTTTATACACATAGTGTTAGTATATACACAGAAAAGATTTGTAATATTATACATTAAATTGTTAAATAATCATGTTTGGGGATGGATTATGATTGGCTTCAATTTACTAAGCTATACCTTTTTTCTATTTTATTGTGGTAAAATATATGTAACCTAAAATTTACTATCTTAACCATTTTTTTTCCTTTTTGGTGGCTGACCTCTTAACCATTTTTAAGTGTATAGTTCAGTGGTATTAAATCCATTTATAATGGTTTATTATTATTGTTAGTATTCTTTTTGTGGCATCCAGCCAATACAGAGATCCAAACCCTTGACCTTGGTGTTATAATACCACACTTTAACTAACTGAACTAACTGAACAGCTCCTAATTTTTTTATTTTTAAAAATTTTAATTGACACATAATTGTACATATTTACGAGGAACTGTGTGAAATTTTAATACATGTATACAGTGTGTAATGATCAAATCAGGTTAATCAACATATCTACCACCTCAAACATTTATCTTTTTTTTTTTTTTGCATTGGGAACATTCAATATCCTCTCTTCTAGCTGTTTGAAATTATACAATAAATTGTTGTTAATTATAGTCACCCTACAGTGCTATAGAACACTAGATTTTACTCCTCCTATCTAACTGTAGTTTTGTATCTGTTAAGCAACCTGTCAGTATCTCCCCTACGCCCTACCCCTCCCAGGCTCTGGTAACCACTATTCTACTCTCTACTTCTATGCAATCAACTTTCTTAGCTTCCACATATGAGTGAGAACATGTGGTATTTCTTTCTGTTCCTGGCTTATTTCACCAAACATAATGTCATCCAATTTCATCCATGTACAGTTCAGTGGTATTAAATACATTTGTAATGTTTTGCAACCATCTTTTTATCTTGTAAAACTGAAACTCTATACCCTTTGAGCAATAACTGTCCATTGCCCCCTCCCCCAGCTTCTGGCAACCACCTTTCTACTTTCTGTTTCTGTGATTTTGACTACTCTAAGTACCTCATGTAAGTAAAATCATAAAGTATTCTTTTTGTGTTTGGCTTATTTTGCTTAGTATATTGTCCTCAAGGTTCATCCAGTGTTGTAGCATATTGCAGAATTTCCTTCCTTTTAAAGGCTGTATAATTTTGTATGGTTATACTACATTGTGCTTATCCATTCATTGTCAATGAACAATTGGGTTGTGTCCATGTTTTAGCTATTGTGAATAATGCTGCTGTAAACATGGGTGTACAAATATCTCTTTGAGACCCTGCTTTCAATTCTTTTGGGTGTATACTCAGCAGTGGAATTGCTGGATCATACAGTAATTTTATTTTTAACTTTTTGAGGAGCTATCATCCTGTTTTCCATAGTACCAATACCATTTGATATCCCTAACAATAGTGCACAAGAGTTATAAGTTCTCCACCTTCTCACCAACATTTGTTGTTTTCTGTTATTTTGATTGTAGCCATCCTTTCACTGATGATTAGTGATATTGAACATCTTTTCATGTGATTATCAGCTATTTGTATATCTTCTTTGGAGAAATGTCTGTTTCATGTCCTTTGCCTGTTTTTGAATTGGGTTGTTTTGTTGTTGAGTTTTAGGAGTTCTCTATATAAGCTATACATTTTTGCTTTATTTGAGTTTTAAAAATTTCATATATTTTTCCTCAATATTTTATAACAAACGTACTGAGAAATTCCAAGAGCAGTACAATGAATATTGTTGTACACTTCTATTCAATCTCCTAATAGTTAGTATTTTGCCACAATTGCTTATCCCTCTTTATTTTTTCCCCCCAAAACATTTGAGTTAGTTGCAGACATCATAACATTTCTGTCCCAAAATATTTTAGCATACATTTGCTAAGAACAAGAATATTTTCTTAGATAACTCTAATACAATTATTGTTCTAAGGAAATGTAACACAGCTACATTATTATTGGCTAATACATAGCCCATACGTACATTTTTTCCAGTTGTCTCAAGGATCATACGTCGGATTTAGTTATGTCTCTTTAGACTTTAATCTAGAATAATTCCCAGCCTTTGTCATTCATGACACTGATATTACTGAAAAGTCCAGGCTAGTTATTTTTCAGAGTATCCCTCAATTTGTATTTGCCTTATTGTTAACAGTTTTTGATAGCAATACTACTTGGGTGATATTTTTTAAAAAAAATTTTAAACAATGATTATGTACTATTTTTGTAAACATAAAAAATATTTAATACGATGTTTTTGAAAGGAAAATTGATAATGTGTTTCCAAAGTTTTAAAAGTTAATGTAGTAATTCTACTCCTAGAAATTTGTCTTAAGGAAACAATTAGATAGAAGTGCAAAGATGTATGTACAAGAATGTACTCTGCATTATTTGTGATAGTGACAACTCGCTAGTTGATATAACCAATAAATAGAAGTTTGATTAAAAGTTCACTGTGTATGCCTATAAATGAATGTTATGCAGCTGTTAAATATGATAATATATATTATATTAATTGGCATGGAAAAATGGTCTTTTTTATTATTTAATGTAAAAGCAATTTGCAATACTGCTTAAGATATGAGATGTCCTTAAAATGTATATTACATAGATAAATATGCATATAAAGAAGTTTGGAGTATCAGATTGGTGGGATTATGGGTGGTTTTAAAAACTAATTAAAATTAAGTTTGTATTTTCTAATTTTTCTACAGTTAACATGTATTATTTATGTATTCAAGAAATAATGCAAATTTTAGCCCTCTGAACAATCCAAGTCTGTAGTGGTATTATAGTATTTCTTCAGATGCTGCTCACAGACATGGAGCCCTGCCTTAGGTGCCCTGTGCATACTCCAGGGAGCTCATCTAGGACATTCATTAGGTCACACAATGAAGAGACAAGTGGGGAGATGGGGGATGGTAAGGTCTGAAGGCAGATTAGGTCAGAGTATATTAATATTGGAATTGAGAGTAGTGGCTAGGAAGAAGGTAGGTAGGCACTGGTGAAAGCAGTGGAAAGAACGCCGGAAGCATATATAAAAGCCTCTTACTAGGAAAAGTTGGAGTCCAGAGGAGATTTTTTTTTTTTATTTTAAAAGATGACCGGTAAGGGGATCTTAACCCTTGACTTGGTGTTGTCAGCACCACGCTCACCCAGTGAGCGAACCGGTCATCCCTATATGGGATCTGAACCCAGGGCCTTGGTGTTATCAGCACCGCACTCTCCCGAGTGAGCCACGGGCCGGCCCTCCAGAGGAGATTTTAAGATACCTGCTGGTTGCTACAGTTCTGAGCCCATAGTATTTGGTATGACTCATTTAAGGCAGGATGGGAAACAGGGACACCAAAGTATGGTGCATTGTAAAGTGGATAGGCACTGAATCAGACAGACCTGGTCAAATCTCACGTTTACCACTCACAGGCTATATGACTTTAGACAAGGAACTCTTTGAATCCCAGTTTCCTTATCTATAAAATGGAGAAATAAGATTTACTACATGGGGTGTTCGTGAGAATTAAATGAGGTGATGTATGGAAAACATGTAGCTCAGTGTTTATCATATAGTAAAGTAATAGGCCAACAAATGTTAATTCTGTTCCCTTCTGATTCTTGTCTATAAGACATTGGTTGTGTGAGTGAGTGAAAGTGAACCTCATCTATATCCTGTGGGCATTGGGTAGCAAATGAGGCAGCATAGACCTAGACAGAGGTCTAGAGGTCATGTAGCATATAAGAAAGATCATAGGCTCTGGGTTCAAGTTCTAGTATTATCTCTTGCTAGCTCTGTGTTCTTGGGCAAGTTTCTTAATGGCTCTTAGCCTTGGTTTCCCCATCTGTCAATTTAGACACAGCCTTTTTGGGAAGATAAGCTGGAAATATTTTTTCCTACTCATTTTAGTAAGTTTTCAAATGTATATGCCTATGTAACCATCACCAGAAAGTATAGAAAATTTCTATCACCTCAAAGGTTCCCTGTAACTTTTCTCTTCTAGCTAATTAAAGTATGCAATAAGTTGTTGTTAAGCACAGTCACCTGACGGTACTATAGAACACTAGATATTATTTCACTCACTATCCCTGCCCCCCTACTTTCTAGTCTCTAGTAATCACTATTCGACTTTCTACTTCTATGGGATCAACTTTCTTAGCTTCCATGTGTAAGTGACAGCATGAATATATCCAAAGGAAAGGAAATCAGTATATCAAAGAGATATTTTCATGCCCATCTTTATTGCAACACTGTTCACCATGCCGAAGTTATGGAGTCAACCCAAGTGTCCATCAACAAATGAATGGATAAAGAAAAAGTGGTATATATACACAGGGGAGTACTATTTAGCCACATAAAAAAATGAAATCCTGTCACATGCAGCAACGTGGACGAGCTTGGAGGATATTACATTAAATGAAGTAAGCCAGGAATAGATAGATTTTTCTCTTCTATAGTTTCAATTACATGGAATCTATACAGCATGTATTATTTGTGTCTGACTTCTTTCTTTTAGTATACTGTTTTTGAGATTTATCTGTGTTGTTGCATGTGTCAGAAATTCATTTCCTATCTTTGTGAGAACTGTTTCATTGCATGGATACAATTTATTTATTCATTTACCAATTGATG